GTCCATCGGCCAGCTGCCCTCAGCCCGCAGGCAGCACCCCTCCGTGCCCCGTGAGCTCCAGTCCCTGCCGCCCCGCGAGCCCCAGTCCCTGCTGCCCCTTGAGCCCCAGTCCTCGCTGCCCCGTGAGCCCCAGTCCTCGCTGCCCCCCTCCGTGTGCACCGAGCTCGTGGAGGAGGAGGCGCAGTCAGTCCTCGTGCCCGCAGCATCCATGGATCTTGTGCTGTAGGAACTCCTGGCTGTAAGCAGGCCTCGTGGTGTCCCCCCAGAATACTCCTGCTCTGAGTCGCCGGAAAAAGACTCAAACGGATCTTCAGAGCTCAAGTGCACGTGTCTGTCTTTGCTGGGGAGCTGCTTTGCCCTTGGAAATGCATCCAAAACATCCTCAGTGTCACTAAGCTCCAGGCTGCTCCCTCTGGAGATTCCCCTGCATGCATGTAACGGTGACACCGGGAAGGGGAGAGCGGGGATTTCTCCCTCGCCCACCTCCACGCCGGCGTGGTGTAGATCAGCAAACACATCGGCTCCCTCGGCCTCGTGCCTGCCCTGGCTGCACAGTGGCAGGAACAAACCCGCTGCTGAAAAAGATGCAGGACTGCCAAGAGGGATGCTGCTTCCTCCTTCCAAATCCTCAGGCAGGAGGGGTTCCTCCTCGTGGCTCCCTACCGCATCTGCTGCTTGGCCCCCAGGGCTGCCACACTGCGGGCAGCAGGGCCGCGGGGCACTGTCTGGAGCCGCACTTGTGCCACGAGAAAACGTCTTGGGGTGCACGCTAAGGACAGAGTCCGGCTCAGCACTGTGCAGAGCCACCTTGTGACCATGCGGAGGAGGAGGAGGTAACGATCCTGGGTCACCTGGCACGAGCGAATCCGCAGGGGAGCTCTCCGACGGCTCTGCACGGCATGGGTACGTGTCTTTCTTCACCTCTTCTGCACATCTGGGCTCCTGCGGTGCATCAGCCACCCTCGCTGCATTCGTTTTGTCGCTCTCGGGGGACTTCTCTGCACCGAGGCACAGATCATCACTCTGTCCAGCTTCAGAGTCACCTGCTAAGGCTGTAGGGTCCAATGGGAAGCCCTGACCATCACCTGCTCCCGAGGACTCATCCAGCGCGTCTGTGCGGTTGGCAGAAGGGCCGCTGCGCTGTTCTTCCACCAAAACCTCGCTCCCTTCTTGGTTGGATTCACCAGTGCTCAGCGAAGCCAGGCCAGCATGAACGGCACCTCCACACCTTTGGGAAAAGCCGCTGCTCCCTCCCATGTTGCTCTGGGATGGAGACTGGATGTTTGCCGTGGCTTCCTGTTCCTCTGGAGCAGCCCTGGGATGTGTTGCTCCATCAGGAGACGCGAGGCCGACAAAGCTGGAATCGGGGGACAAGGTTAGGGACAGTCCCTGGCTGCAGGGTGACCAGAGGCTGGCAGGCGCCCACCTTTCTGCAGAGGGCGCACGATCCTTGTCTTTCTGCTCCAAGCCGATCCCCAGCATCTCTCCGGCAGATCCCAAGTTGCCGGTAATGCTGTCCGGCTGCGCCCCACAGACAGGGCTTGGGTGAGATGGTAAGAGCAGCATCAATCTGCTGTCACGGGACGACCCCACATGGGCTGGACTGGCTGTGTGTGCCAAGCCAACACCGTTCATCTCTGCATTTGGGGTGGCCAGAGCCTCCCAGGGCTCTTGCAGGGTGTCCAGGCTTGGTGCCATCTCACCAGGAAGCCCCCAAGGGCCAGTCTCAGTCCCATCCAGCACTGATCTGCCTGGGCAGGGGGATGCTGAGACAGCAGGGCTGGGCAAGGGGCCCTCTCCAGGAAAGCCAAAATCCTTCGGATATGCTGAATTGACTCGCTTCTGCTCGCTGTGTTCATGCGCCATGTCAGCATCACCGCTTCCCGAAAATGCTAAATCAACAGGCCCCAGGACTGTGCTTTCATATTCAGAGTCCTCGTTCTCTTTTCTTCCCTCCTCCACCTCTTCCCCCTCTTTTTCTGGATGTCCAGAGGGGTCTTGCGATTCCCTCCCTTCCCCGCTGGCTCCACTGGGCTTTGCAATTTTGGGATGTATTTCTAAGGGCATCGAATCACAGGCAGGTTGTGGTCCATGGCTGGCGGCCCAGCTGCCATCCTCAACCTCCTTACAGTGCACACCATCTCCTGTGCTCTCACGGCCCTCGGGAGGGCCAGGGCCACCCCCTGACCCTGTTGCCCACCCGTTCTCCTGCTGCTCTCCGTGTCCACGCAGCACAGCCCATGCATCACTCCAGGGAGCTCTACTGGAACTCGGGGCTTGGCTACATGGGCTTTCCCTGCCCAGCACGGCTCGGGCCTTGTCAGCATTGCCAAGCTCATCGGAAGGGCCGGGGGTGTCCTTGGGCGGCTCCTCCTGAAACAACACAATCCAGATGTTAATCCTCAAGGGAAGTAAATGCAGGAGCTGAGACACCCATGCAGGAGGGCTGGGATATTTTAAATGATCGGACTGTGTGAGTACAACCATTCCAACAGCATCTGAGGGTATTAGTTTGTCTCTAAAATAAGTGAAGGTTGAGTCCTTATCCTGTGTGAGCCACTACCATTGCCACCGCAGCCAGCAAGCACAGCCCCACAGCCAGCCAAGGAAAGGTTTTGACATTTTCTATCTTCTTTACACCATGAAATGACTTAAAGATAGCCCAGACTGTGCAGGGGCACAGGTAGCGCCCAGGGGAAAAGTATGCAGCATCCTCTTACCTCTACTGAGTTTACCTGTCCAAGCAACCTATATGGACACTATGGATAGGGATTCCACATTTCCTCCCAAAACACTTCTGCCTGCTCCACGGCACCAACTCAGGTGGTAAAAAACACTTTTCCCCACCCTCCCCCTTTGTGCAAAAGCGCTGCAGCCCTACGGCAGCTGCTCTTATGCCAGGGGCAGAACTTTGAAAGGAATTATCTTAACTAAGGCTTGAAAAATGTCATCAGACACCCATGCTTTAATTTTCATAGAGTCACAGTGTGGTTTGGGTTGGAAGGGACCTTAAAGACGATCCAGTTCCAACCCCCTGCCATGGGCAGGGACACCTTCCATAGCCCAGGGTGCTCCAAGCCTCATCCAGCCTGGCCTTGGACACTCCCAAGGATGGGGCATCCACAGCTTCTCTGGGCAACCTGTCCCAGTGCTCCCACCCTCTGCGGGAAGAATTCCTTCCCCAGGTCCCATCTCCATCTCCCTCTTCCCGGTTAAACCCGTCACCCCTTGTCCTGTCACTCCCTGCCCTTGGGAAAAGCCCCCCCAGCTTTCTTGTAGCCCCCCAGGCACTGGAAGGGGCTCGGAGGTCTCCCCGGAGCTTCCCTTCTCCAGGCTGACCCCCCCAACTCCCCCAGCCTGTCCCCAGGGCAGAGGGGCTCCAGCCCTCAGAGCATCTCCGGGGCCTCCTCTGGACTCACTCCAACAGCTCCGTGTCCTTCTGCTGGTGGGGGCCAGAGCTGGAGGCAGAACTTCAGGGGGGGTCTCAAGTGCTGCCTCCAGCTCTGGGGCCCTCAACATAAGGATATCGACTGTTTGGAGCTAGCCCTGAGGAAGCCACTTTTACCCAAGTCCCTCCACTCCTGACCATCTGTAAAATGTAGAAACTATAAAAATTAATTTAAAAAATCACTACCCAGAATGGAACATTAAATAATTTCGACAGGGGGATGAGGGAACAGTTGCAGAGCAGTTCACTGCTACCTGTGTGAAGGAAAGCCCTCCAAGCCAGCTTTCCCAAACCAGGGGAGGGAAGGCTGTGCTGTGTCCCACGTCACACCCGGGCTACTGCGGCCGCACGCAGACAGACGCAGTCACCCACAGAAGACAGGCAGGCTTTTGGGTGTCAGACAGGGGTGTTTGTTGTTCCTCTCCCTCAGTGAAGTGCAGGTCTGAGACCTCGGCCAGGCTCGCACAGCTCACAGCCAAAACCTGGGATAGATGCCGAGATCAGCACTTTCACTGCTTTAATTCTTTGGGATTCCTCCCCCTTGGAGAACATCCATGTCGAGGCCCTGCTCCTTTGGACAGGGACAGGTACAGCTCATGACAGAGCCTGGTGATGCCAGCCCAGTCCAAGAGGACATCCAAACCTGGACTGAGGCCTGAAAGGTGCTTTTTTATGGTGACTCTGAGCAGGGCAATCACCTTGGGGCAGCTAAATACTGGCAGACGTTTCTTTGTCCTGCTTTGGGGACCCCATTACCTGACTCGAAGAGAGCCCATAAGGACGGCTGTTCCACTCCTCCCAGAAGATCCCACCTACTCCTGCAAGCGCAAAATGCATCGTGTGCCCTGTAGACTCGTGTCACCCAAACCCCAAGCTCTTACCACAGCGATAGTTGCCATGTCAGGCACGCGCTCCTCAGGAACAACCGCTGGGCACCCGTCTATCACAGCCAGGCTCTCGTCAGCGTCCTCAGCGAGGGAAAGGCTCTCGGGACAGCTTGTGGAGGAAGGCTCCTCCTCCCCACAGGGCAGCTCCCCTGAAGAAGATGATACTGTACTATCGACAACACCAAGAATCCCATCAGCATCAGTCTGAGAGTCTGCAGGGCTCTCCTCTGGGCAGCAGGCTCCCTGGCAACGTGTGCTGCGATCCAGAGAGCTGCTGGGAGTCTGGTCAGGGTCTGACCGAGAGTCTGCAGGGCACGTCTCCAACTCAAAACAATCCTCACCATCATCACTCAGCTCAAGAAAGTCCCACGTGCTGTATATCGAGACATACTTCTTGGGGTTGCTGTGCTCCACCACCTTCCTCGTGCTGCTCAGGAGTTTGCTGGGTTTGCTGTAGAACAGAGCCAACCACGTATGAAGTATCAGCTTCACCTCTTCCACATCGTCGGGCAGATCAGGGTCCCAGGGCCTGGAAGGGAAAGCAAACACAGCCTGAAACATCTTCATCCTCCCTCCAGTTGACTAGCACAAGGTAACTCATCTCCTGGCTCCCCACGGCGCTAAGCCCCCAGCAGGGAGGCTGCAAATGCCCAGCTGCAGACACACGTCACTCGATGTGGTTTCCAGCTTGTTGAAAAGAAGAGAAACTCAGGGCTGCAAATGAGGACTCATGGCTCTAGGTACCGATTCTAGCTGCAGAGCCAAGGGCATCAGAGAGTGGTTTGGGTTCACAGAATCACGGAATGCTTTGTGTTGGAAGGGACCCTAAATACCATCTAGTTCCAACCCCAGTGCCATGGGCAGGGACACCTTCCACTAGATCAGGTTGCTCCAAGCCTCATCCAGCCTGGCCTTGGACACTCCCAGGGATGGGGCATCCACAGCTTCTCTGGGCAACCTGTCCCAGTGCCTCCCCACCCTCTCCGGGAAGAATTTCTGCCTGATGTCCAATCTCAATCCCCCCTCTTTCTGTTTAAACCCATATCCCCAGGTCCTTCTCTGCAGGGAAGACACACCAGCTTTAACACAGAAAAATGGGGCATGTGAGCATGGGGAAAAAGGCCATTATCATGCAAACCAGAGCAAAAAGGAGCAGAGCAGAGCTTCCAAAAGCATGCCAGATGTCCAGGAAGGGACGTGCCCTGCAGATGGCCTTCCAGCCTGACTTACCCGTGCAAGGCGCGGATGATGGTTTTCTCCAGGGCATCATTGGTGTACCTGGTGTCCAAACTGAAGACATACTCTGCCTCCCAGTGGCATGTCACCTTCAAGGACTTGCCGCAGATGTTCACCTTGCGGGACCTGGTGATGTCCTCCTTCAGCCTGGGGGAAAGCAGGCTGCTCCTGCACCTCATCGCCGCCGCCACCTCCAAGGGCTGCAGCGGGTGGGTGCTGTTCTGCTGCTGGCGGAAAGGTAGGACTTTCCCAACCAGGGGTCCTGCTTCAGCGTTCCTGGACCCATTTCTGGAAGGTGCTGGTCCGGGGTAGAGGGCACCTCTGGGATACATGTGTTTCTTTGAGTGTTCAGTCATCTGCGAGGCGTAGGAGTGCTCGACAGAGATGAAGGAGTGCTTTTTCACCTCGGCAGCTTCTTGAGTCTCTCTCGGAGGCAACGCTTGGGGTGTTGAAGGGATGGGGCTCGCACTGTTCTTGCTGGAAACCCCAGGACATTCCTCCCTGGGAACAGAGGCCAAGTTATTTAAGTCTCTTGTTTCTGCAAGAGGCAGATTCTGCTTCAGTGATGCTTTGCTAGGAGAGGTGGGTCCCTTTGCAAGCTTGTCTACCCTGTGGTATTCGTGGTCAGAAGCAGCACGCAAGGATTTGTGTTTGCGATGACCCTGCTGCTCCTTTGCTGAGTCGCTGGAAGGGCTGCAGGACGCAGCGATCACCTCACTGTCCCTGGGGATAAACGAAGGAATACAAGAACCCAGAGCCAGATCAGCCAGCAAGTTCAAGGCGTGGGACTCGTAGTCGTTCCCCTTCAGATTGAAACCAAGATCAGCGGCCCCGCCTGGGTAAATCTCACTCGTTTGGCTATCAGCTCCGTGGCACTGGGAAGAAACTTCACTCGGGACGACAGAGAGTGGCTCCTTCCAGTCTGCGTGAGAAAAACAAAGTCAGGGGATAAGCAAAGGGCACACAGCTCTGTCGAGAAGGGACTCAAAGCAGGCTTTCAGTTTGGCAGGAAGGAGGTCTCTCTCCAATGTGGAATTTGCACACTTAAAAAAAAAAAACAACCAACCCACCTGCAGGCTGCAAAAGCATCCCGAGTTGGGATCTAAGGGGCTTCAGGAAAGGGGTTTGTTCTCAGAAATAAAAGGCACGGGATCCAGAGTGAACAAAATTTCCTTTGGCCTCTGTGCACAGGACAGTTTGGCCACTTAAACACAACCTGAGATGTTTTAGGTGTTTCCTTACTCCTTTTTATTTTGCGTTACATTTTATTCTAGTTGGAGTATTTGCAATCTTCGCAGCTAAACCCTGTGCTAGGCTTTCAATAATAGACAGCTACAAAAAACCCTTCCTCTCTAAACCACCGAGAAAACCCACCCTGCCCTCATGCCTCCCCCTGCACACCCTTCTCAGGGGTATAACCTGCTACTGAGCCGTAGCTCAGAGCACACGCCGAAACCTGGAGCTTCCCAAAGGCGGCCAGGACGCAGCACGTAGGCGTTCGTTTAGTTTTCCGCGTTAAAAACGCCGCTCACCATGGCACAGGGCCCTAAAACGCAGTGTGATGTCATTAAACAAGGTTCATGCCTTCTAAAAACCAGCAGAAAAGAATCTCTGTTTGAGTGAAACCTTATTAAATCACATCTGTGCTGGAGTCCAATGTGTTACATTTAATTTCCTTGGGATCTGCAGAGTAGGACATACAAATTGAGTGTTTCTTGCTGCTAAATCCTTATTTTGCATTTTTGACAGGTCCTTTTTTTTAGCAGGACCCATGTGACATGCTGCCTGTGAGAGAGCACTGGCCAGATCCACTCTGGGAACCCTCATGAGACAAAAAGCAGCGAGGGGTGGCATTTGATACAGGCTCACTGATGAAAAGTGCCATGTTTCAGGGACACGTGGCAATAAAAGACCAAGAAGAACAGTTAAACTGAGCTGAAGCAGCTAAACCAGCCTTCCAAGCCTCCACCTCCCCCACGAAGGTGAAAAAAATGACCAGAGGCGGATCTGAAAAAGGGTATCAAAGCGCAAGTGTGTGAAAACACGACAAATTAACAGAAAATGACTCTCACATCCCATCATTTATTTTGGCACCATAATATTGGTTCTCAGTTTAACAGCAGACGCCCAGCCAACACCAGCAGACACTGCACCCGAGGGCTGTCCACGCTGCCTCTTAAATCCCCCGCAGCCTGTCTGCGAAGGCTGCGACAATTGGACTCTTTAAAACGACCGGATTTACAACGTAATGGACTAAAAATCTAGGGAGACGCCGGCTACCAGCAGAGGTTATAACACTCTGACCACCAGCTGCCTCAGCAGGTAAAAATCAGGCTTTTTAAACTGAGCAAGTTGCCAAGGGTACAACTGAAGGCTTAGGAAAGGACTCTGAAGAGACCCCGTGTGGTTTGTACGTCCTCTAAGGGTTGATTTTCACCCGTGCCTTTGTGTTTCACACTAGAGTGCAGAACTGGGGGCCTGCAGGCTGTGGGGCAGCAGCACTCAGACCCCACTCCAGACCCTCAGCACTAAAGACCCTTTCATGTGCTGTTACTATCATCTGGTCCTGACCTGACTGTGATGTTTTAATGGAAAGATTTCCACAGGGAACAACGCTCTTACCGCTTTCTGCTTGTTTTTCAGCTTGAGGGTTTGATGGGCTGTTAGCCACACTTTTTACCATGTTACACTTCATGATGGTCTCAGCAACAGGAACGTCTTTCATGTCTGGGTTCTTCAGGGTCTTTGGTCTCTTTGCTCCCAAGCCAGGATCGTCGGGAGCTGAGGTTTCCTTTTGAAGAGGTTGAGACTCTGTTTTTTGCACAAATTCTGCAGCCAGGACCTCTGCACCTGGGACAGGGAAAAGGGAGGGCATTTCTTTTGGTTTGAGATACATTCAGATTAAAAAGGAGTAATTGCAAGATCTGCAGTTGAGGAATGTGGAAGGACTGCTTTAGAAATGATTGGCAGCAGAGTAGTCTTCAATGACGACTCTGATCTTACAAATGGGTTTGTTAGATGCAAGTGATCAGTAAGTCATTGTTAAACATTAAGAATCACTTCTTAAGCTCATTAAAAGCCTGCTTTCCTGCCCTAGAATCAATGTTCTCAGGGGATAAGTCACTCTAATTCCTGGCACCCTGAGGGTACTCATTTACCTCTCCAAGAAGCACAAAAGAACATTTCCCAGAGCCATCTGCAATGACACCCAGGCCCGAAGCAATGCGCCAGTACAGTCTGACTGAAAGGAAGCTGATTTCATCCTCCCATGGGGCACAATAGCCCCTTTCCACAGTCCTGCTGCCTGTGATGGGTGTAAATTCCAGCAAGGAAGTTGACTCTCAGGGAGTCACAATGTGACCAGCAGAGTGGTCGGTTATCAAGGCAGCCTGTAGTGACCACGGCCTTGGCAACTGCTCCTTGCCTGAGCCACTGGCAGCCCCTGGACAAGGGGTGCAATAACCATGACCTGCGTGATCTCCCTGTGCACAGTGACCCATAAGCCAAGGAAGGCAACAGCATGGACCACTGCACCGGGTTTCAGGCACCTTCAGGATTTCAGGAGCCTCAGGCTCCTTCAAGGTTGAATAAGAGACTGTGGAGACAAGACACAGACCAATAAAGTCTCCCTGGAGCCTTCT